TGATATGAAATTATCCTATTTTTTATGGAGTAATTTAAGCTATAAATGTATATTTACCTGTAATCAGATGTAACATTCGGCTCCTAATTATCCAATTTTATAACTACACACATAGTAATATCTAAATATAAAATTGTAATTCTTTTTTTTTTCTTTATGTTTTTTCGCTAAGCCCTTGGTATCTTAGTATCCGTCTCTTTTTCAAGCTAAGAGAACTTTATCATGACCCAGACTAATTCAAATCAAGCAATGTGAAACCCTTTAGAGAGGGACCTCACCACCTAAGTTTAACGATACTATATTTCCAATACTCAAACTTGAAACCTTTAGTTAAACAACTCTCTTACCAATAAGTGCTTAGTAATTCATCCACCAAAGCACAGCACCAAAAGGTTTCTCCAAACATGTGCATGTCACCCACATTAATTTATATGTTTACTAGACCTTGCATGATGATCAACTAGTAAATTAAACCATTAAGTATATATCGTGGCTTTGATTAAATATCAATTACGTACCTTTTGGCAAGAAAAATTAATTGAAGTTGAAGAGGAATGAAATTAAACTAATAAAAGCTTCACTAAATTGTGCAATTTTTTTAAGGAAAAAAATGAAAATAAAGCGTATCAGATAATTTCAGGGCAATTGCAAAGGAAAACAATGGATGTTTTAATACGTAATTATGCAGCCTCTCTTGAACGGTTTATCATTTATGCCTTGGAATTATTCTTAGTTTTCCGATCAAATCCGTCAATTAATAAGAAAGTAGCAGATTTTATTTTTGGCCAAAAAAACAGTAGAAGAATTGAAGCTGCCTTTTTGTTGTTGCTTTTCGGAAACGGAATGTTAGTTTGACAACCAAGGGAACATACCTGCTTGTTTGAGAGAACTACTACTCTTTTTCCCCCTTCAAAAACCTCCAAATACACCAACAACTAAACATTGCCGTGTTTATCTAACTATTTTATGCAACAACATAAAAGTTTAATAATTAATTGATATATATATGTGTGAAAATTAATAAAATTAATTAAAGTTAATTATTCATGAAAGAAATATGTATTGATTTTTCTAAAATAGCCTTATAATCATTTGTATGGAAAACTACTTGATATAAAATTCCCTTTGATATAATAGTAGGAATAATCTAGGAAAAAATATAAATTTAGAATACAGTAAATTGAAATCTTACATTTAAAACCAAATTACTCATCTCAATTACCTTTCCCGTCAGAAACTACTACCCCAAGAATTGTCTTGATAGCTGCATTTTTCTTCCGTCATTATTGAGGTCCAAGTTCCACCGTCGGCACTTAAGTATAAGATTTTTCAGCAACAGACCTTTTTTTTTTTTTCATTTTATGCATAAATTATTGAGGTCCCAGTCATTTTTGGCAAAGACAAATAACAACAACAACAACAATAATAATAAATGAACTACAGTTAGGTATAAAATTACTCAATGCTCATCAAACAATACAAGATAGTTGGAATACCACAATGGTATTCTTGATAATGCCTCTCTAAGATGTACAAACCGCCTCCTTCTTTTTGATATGATTTAGGCATCCATTTAACTGTTTATAAGCATGTTTCCCATAATCGAGACAAAACTCTCATCGTATATTTATCTTGTATTTTGTAAAATCATGATTAAAAAAGTTGCTTATAAGTAATTCTAAATAGGTCTTTAGTTTTGTTCTCTTGTCCACGCGTAGAGTCCCACATTGATCGATAAAAGAAATGATTAAAACGTATATAATATTAAAGGAAGTCTGTCAAATTACATCAAGTTACTTTGATAGAAAGGCAACTCCAACATATACCTATATATGTTCAGAAAACCCAACAATTCAGAAACACAAAAAGAAACGGTGTAATAAATGGAAATGTCTACTCAACTTTTCGTAACCATGTTTGTTAGATTATGAGGAGTTTTAGTTACGTATCAGTAGCAGCAGCATTTATTTAATAAAATAGTAAGTATTTGCTAGTCATTATGATAATTCTTTTGATCACACTCTCCATGTAAAATGTTGAATTAAAAATTCTCAGAGTGATCATATAAATAATTTTTTAAAATAAAAACTAAAGTTTTATTATTAGACCAATTATTTTAGTTTTCCTTGTGTCCCCATCAAGCATACACGTTGGATTATGACTATGTAGTTATCCATTATTGAAAATTGGCATTATATACGTTGAAGTAATTTTCTAGTGGCTAACGGAATTTGAAATTATAGTCAAATCAATAATCAATAATTGTTATTTTTTTGACCAAATAATCAATAATTGTTATGAAGAGTATCATTATTATTTTACGTAGACTTATTGCTATCTTTTGTCAAGACTACGACCGCATAAATGGAACGATCAAAAACAATATATGAGTGTATTTATTACAGCTTTTGAAAAATCAAAAGACATTTTTGGAAAATTTTCAAAAAAAAAAAAAACAGATTGGGTAATTTTTATTAACTTAAAAGGTCTATTATTTGCAATGTTTTGAAAATCCGTTTGTTAAATGTCCATTTGTGTTTTTACTTACCAGAAATTACTTTTGGTTTTTGAATATCTTTCAGTTAATTTTTAATTATAAAAGGCTAAAAACTAGGTTGGGTTATTTTCCAAACAATTTTCAATTTATCAATCTGACTTTTTTTCCCATAAAAATGAATCCAAATATAAATTCTTTTACCATAACTAATTTTTATTAAACTGGATTATGGCATATGAATTTTTGATAAATAAGCTTTTTACAAAACCAGATGCGACGATGGATATATATATATATATATATATATATTTTTATATAAGTTGTCTGTCTCCTTAATACAGTGGCACAAGTGAAAGCGACATATCTGTTGAAGATGATAACTTCATCTCTCATTTTCACTTTTCTTTTATTTTTTATTTTTTATTTGATGACTTGACACTAAGGACATAGTTTCCGTCAAAACCCCGCAGCATCGTCTTAGTTTTAAATATATATATATATATATATTTATATTTTTATACACACATATTCTAATACAGGGTTAATATAATTTTTGGTTGTCTAATTTGCCATCATTTTAGCTTTAATTCTTCAACTTTAAAATCATAAATTCTCATCTTTGTTAAAAAAAAAAAAATCATAAGATTTAGTCTCTCAAGTTTCTTTTTGTTTAAAACACTTGTTCCTGTAATTTAATAAATACCTATACTATTTTGTTCTTAAAAAACTAAAACATATGGTTTTAAACTCGAATAACTAAAGCCAAACTTGAGAAATTAAAGATTGTAATTAAAGATTGTATAAACTCCTATATATATATATATAAATATATATCATCATGCGCTAAAAATGATGCTTGTGGGAAATTAGTGCCAGCTAGTCATCAAAAACAAAATAAACAAAAGGAAATTACGTAATAATCAAACCAGCAACTCTATAATTGATTATTATTTTATTTTTCAATATAATTTATTTAATTAATTTAATTCACAATGATAAATAAAATTTAAAAATATAGGAACGGGATTAAAAATCATGTCAAACCATCAATATCTTATAAAAAGGGAAAAACTATAAAGACTTGATTGAAAATTACTTGAAATTATAAGGACTTAGCTTGCAAATTAATTATCCCTATAAAGACTTGATTAAAATGAAAAGAATGAAACTAATTCATCTACTTGTAATGTATCTCGTGCATAGGATCTCATTTAGACATTGAATTATAAAATGATAGCACAATAAATGAAATAGGCAAGCTTGCTTAAATTAAAATAATCTTTAATTTAGGGGAAAAAACTATTAAAAAAAAAGTTTACAGGAAAACAAACCTTCATATATTTATTAAAAGAAAATTGTTGACAAATTCCCCATTACAAAATTTATTGCCCAAAGACACCTGAAATTTGTTTAAAGCAAGACTCAAGTGCAACCTATGTTTAGTGTGCACAACCCTTCTTCAATTGTATTCATCTTATCTTCAACTATGTGTAAAACGAAATATATTTATACATAACTGAAAATAAGTTACATATATATGCAGAAGAGTCGTACCAACTGAGAATGAGCTGTGAAAAAATGCGTCATTAGGTACATGGGCAGGGTAATAAATTTTTTGCAATGGGAGATTTTTCAGTCCATTTATTTTATTAATTATGCACACTCATGTATTTAACTATCTTAGTTATTTAGTTAGTTGTGAAATAATCCTGATTACTTTCATGTTCTACGTGTCCAATCTATGTGCCAATAAAAAGAATCAAATACAATTAGTCTCGACCAATTGAAGATAATAAGATAATTAGATAAGAATAAAATTTGTTTACTTCACGTGTTTCAGTCGGCTGCTTCCATTTTTGATTTCATGCATGGGCCGGTTTTCAAAATCAAATAATTGCCCAAAAAGTATGTTCGTAATCACTGCTTCAAAAAAGTCGCACTTATCAGCAACAACAAGAATAATAAAAAAGTCTTACAATAGACAATGAATGACAATATAATCGTGGATAAGATTACCAAGTAGTTTATATTATATTAGAATAATAATTACTCCTGGTTTTTATTATTAATTACTTATTAATTATGCTTTAGATGAATAAACAAATTTGGTCACAATTAGTTAAACTGTTAAAGTACAATTTTTTTTTATAATTTTTCAGAGTTATCCTTGAACAAGTTAAGAAATAAAATTATTTTCTCAACATTTTATATTTGTAATCATGGTAATGGCTCATAAATCTTTCATTAATTTTTTCTAAAAAATTATATTAAGAATCACACGAAAGAGAGTCTTATAAATAAAATAATAAGAAGGAAATAATAAAAATAAATGATATAATTAACATGCATGGAAAAGCAAAAACGAACAGGACTTGGAAAAATATAAAGCTTGTGGAAGCTTCCTATAACGATGACTTGACTAGAACCTTTGAAACTTGTCTATAAAAGGGCAATCACATTGGGACGTGAAAATTCATTCATATACAATATCCAACTCATTTCAATCCTCTCTTTTAATTTACTACTTCTTCACCATTCTCTTTAATTTCTCTCTCATTTGCCAAATTGCTCCGAACCAAATCATAAGCAACTATGGTAGCTTTTCGTTTATTCATATCTCTCGTACTTGTCTCCATCTTATTCTCTTCTTCTGCTACAAGTTATTCTGTAGACGAAATCAAATTGTGGTGCAACCAAACCCCAAATCCTCAACCATGTGAGTATTTCTTGAGCAACAATCCCATTCACAGCCAAAAGAACATCAAACACAAAGATGATTTTCTCAAGCTTTCTCTTCAAGTAGCCCAAGAACGAGCCCTGAAAGGCCATGCAAATACTCTTTCTCTAGGATCTAAGTGTCGTAATCCTAATGAAAAAGCTGCATGGGCTGATTGCATTGAGCTTTATGAGCACACCATCCAAAGACTCAACAAAACCCTAGACCCCAACACCAAATGCTCCCAAGATGATGCTCAAACATGGCTCAGCACGGCTCTCACCAACCTCGAGACGTGCCGAGCTGGCTTCTACGAGCTCGGAGTTCAAGACTATGTGTTGCCTTTGATGTCCAACAATGTCACTAAGCTGTTGAGCAACACTTTGGCTCTGAACAAAGCTGATTACAAAGAGCCAAGTTATAAAGAAGGGTTCCCAACATGGGTTAAGCCTGGAGATAGGAAGTTGTTGCAGTCTTCTTCTTCATCTTCTCGAGCCAACGTTGTTGTGGCCAAAGATGGATCTGGCAAATACACAAGTATAAATGCTGCTATAAATGCAGCACCAAAGAGCAGTAGTGGGAGATATGTGATATATGTGAAGGCTGGAATCTACAACGAACAGGTAGAGATAAAGGCAAAGAATATAATGTTGGTGGGAGATGGCATTGGGAAGACTATAATCACAGGAAGCAAAAGTGTTGGAGGAGGCACCACAACCTTCCGGTCAGCCACTGTTGGTAAGTCAAAAGTCTTTTAAAGTTTATATTCCAACATATTTTTAAATTGTGTTAATATTATTATTGGTTCTTTTAGTTTGATTAAAAAAAATTTGTTCTCAGCTCTTATAGTTTCAAATCGTGGTTTTTCATCCCTATACTTTCATAGAAATTTGGTTAGAGTTTCATAGCGTTAACTAAAAATTGACGCAAACTCGTTAAAAGTATATGGACTGAACAAGTTTTGATTGTGGGCTCTACACTTAATGCTGTTTATACAGCTATATACTCCGATTAAGTTCTCATAAAACTAGAGATTAAGTTTAAGTTTTAGCTTTTACACTTAATGGGATTTATATATTTCTTATTAAGCCTGATATTATGCGATGCGGGGCCTCCCACGCTCACTATCAAAACCCCATCTGGCTACCAAGGTTAAAATAAACCAAGAATGAAACCTAACTAGCTATGGACTTTTGCAGCTGTTGTTGGGGATGGATTTATTGCTCAAGGAATCACATTTAGAAACACTGCTGGAGCTTCAAATCACCAAGCTGTTGCCCTGCGTTCAGGTTCAGATCTATCAGTTTTCTACAAATGCAGCTTTGAAGGATACCAAGACACATTATATGTGCACTCTGAGAGACAATTCTACAGAGAATGTAACATCTATGGCACTGTGGATTTCATCTTTGGAAACGCAGCCGTAGTTTTCCAGAACTGCAACATTTTCGCTAGAAACCCTCCAAACAAAGTAAACACAATCACAGCACAGGGCCGAACTGATCCGAACCAAAACACTGGAATTTCCATTCATAACTGTAGAATTACGGCTGCTTCAGAGCTAAAAGCAGTCCAGAGCTCTGTGAGGACCTATCTTGGAAGGCCATGGAAGCAATATTCTCGAACAGTGATTATGAAGAGCTTTCTTGATAGTTTGATAAACCAGGCTGGTTGGCTGGAATGGAGTGGTAACTTTGCGTTGAACACTTTATATTATGGGGAGTATATGAACACTGGTTCAGGTTCTTCCACTGCAAATCGAGTTAAGTGGTCAGGTTTCCACGTAATTACCAGTGCTTCAGAAGCTTCAAAATTCACCGTTGGGAATTTCATAGCCGGCAATTCATGGTTGCCAGCCACCAGTGTTCCTTTTACGTCTGGCTTATAAATTTACTTTAATTAGTCTTTCTATTATTGCATGATAACTACGTACCACACACACACACACACACACACACACACAATGATTTAATTATCTGGGTGTGTCTTCATTTCCCCAGTAGGAAAGTAATGGGGAAAATTAATTAATTAGCATTTATAGGGTAAAGTGCTTCATTGTGTTTTTGTTTTATTCATTGTTGAATTATTGGTAATATATATGCAATAAATTCATATTAATGTATTAATCCCGCCGTTATTGTTTTCAATGTTATTATTTTCACGAAACAAGTATAAATACACACCAAACAATTAATACTACCGAAACTAGAGTAACGGTTTCATTGCCAATTTTTTAACAAAGGTACTGCCTATAAGTATTACAAGAATGCAGGAAAATTCCCAAAAACATCATTTAAATTTTGAAATTCCAAATCAGTCTGACTTCCTCCAGTTTAATAGTAATTAACTATAATTGAAAAGTAAATACAACATATTTTCATAAGAATTCTTAATTTGAGATTTTGAAAAGTGGTATATTTTTTTTTTAAAAAAAATTCCCTTAATCTTACTATTCTAATTTTCCAATAATACGAGTTAATTTTTTCACATTATCGGAAAATAGAGTAGCGTTTTTATTCTTTTGCCACGTTACCCCAGCTTCCCAGGGCTTTAATTCGAACCGTATATTCATGGCAAGATTCTCTACAACATAAATTTCACATTCATGTATTTTAATTTTATGTATAAAAATTATCAAAAGTTAAAAAAGTTTAATTTTGCATTGATCTATACTTAATTATAAAATTTATTTATGCACAAACATATTAACGGGTCTTCAATTCAGCTAATTAAAAATTATTGTATATATCATGAAATGTGTGTATATGTGTGTGTAGTAAGTTATTACAAATTGTTAGTGTGTTATTACATTTCTTTATAGGATCAACTATTGAAACTATGTGAAAAATCCACAATCCGCATTCCAAGCACAATACGCTTCCGTGAGCTTTCTTGGCAATGATTTCTTTGGTCAATATATTGTTGCCTTGCCCCTAGGACTTTAAACAGAGTCAAGGAAGAGTTTTTCTCATTAATAGTATGATGCAAAAAAATTAAAAATAAAACAACATGACAATTAAGTCTGAAAAAAAGGGATTTTAATTTAATTAACTTAACTAGAAATTAATTAAAAGTGAATTACTTCTTCTTCTTGTTTTTTTTTTTTTTTGCAGTTCAAGGAGGAGGACGGAGGATATAATATATATACGATTATAGTTATAGTCAACCTCATTTAATTCTGTATGATATCCATCAATCTATCTATCTATCTACTTTATGCTCCTTCCTGTTCAAAATATAAGTTAAATTTTATTCATTTACGTTTATAAAAAAAAACTACTTAAAATCAGTTTAAAACAATAAATATTTAAGGCATGTATTTTTTTAAAAAAATATGCCCTTATTAATGAAGAGAATAAATACAAGATGCAATAAATGAATTAAAGAGGAAAGAGAATATATGGGGTGAAATTTAAAATTTTTTTATTAAATACTTATATAGAAGCGAATGTTATTTTATTAAAAAAACCAAATCCTTCAAATAAAATTTAGCTTATATTTTGAACTGGAAGGAGTATTTGAAATCCCGTACTACCCCGAATGCAACGAAAATGGGTTAATAATCGAATGAATCAAAAATGGGTAGGGTCCCCAGTTGATGCTTAAATAAATGGCCTAATATGTTGTTCCAATTTCTCCCATATTTCCTCCCACGATTAATGTGTTTTTACTATTATTGCTGTTAATTAATTTTATATATTACATTAATTAAAACGTTGGTAGCTTGGCATATTATATTCTCTTTCATATTTTCTCTCATTCCTACTCCATTTCTCTCTTACTTGCCCCTTACATAGTTGGAAAAAAAGTTTATTTTTTACGTATTTATTATTTTTAATTAGTTTTAACTATTTTTTAAATTGCATAATTTGATTATTAGGCCCTTATAAAAAGGATAAGAAGGAGTATATATTTACTTCATAAGAATTCTCCCAAATCCCACGTTGGGAACAGGAACAAGCTTTAGATAAAAAAATTTGGAATATGAACACTTTTTCTTTTTTTTTTTTTGCTAAAACATAAGTATCCTCCTATTGGAGGTACTGTCGGCACTAAATGTGGATACCTCTCCCAGTGGGATTCGAACTTTGGTTCTCCACGTTATGAGGGACTAACCCCTTCCGCTAGACCCAACTCTCGTTGGTTAAACACTTTTTACTTTTATGTACAGGCATCCCCCCCCCTGATTGGGCGTCATCCCTCCAATGAAACGAACTAAACATTTCTCATACTCTATGCGGTATGCCTCCGTTTTCCCATTGCTCCTTCTAACTAATTTGAGCATAGTAATAAAAATAGTTAAAAACACATAAAATTCAAGTACTTTTCAATATTATGCTTATTAACTCACTGAATTCTAACAGTATATTAATTTCTATTCTCTCACTACTCTTATTAAATATGGGCATATATGGAAAAAAAATTTAATACTACTCATTGAAACGATCAAATATTTTTTAAAAAGAACAAAAAAACCCTTTTAGAAAATTTCTTAGAATATGAACCGAAGGCAGTACGTGGGTATTTACTTTTATTATGCTTTCTTAGTTCTCTTCATAATTCCAATAGTACTCTTTCGATCCTAAATATAAGACTCATTTTGTAGTATAATTTATACTACGAAATATGTTCTATATTTAGGAGCGGACTAGACGATTTATCTTCTACCAACAGAAATGCATGAGTTGTTAAAATAAAATGTTTTATTAACATTCCATAAACATAGGCTTGGGTTGGGAGTTGAGAAATTGTGCAGGCCCAATTGTATATTGGGCTTCTTTGGCCCAAACACTGGATAGTCCGTTCTTTTGCGCAGAGGAAAATACAGATGGCAATAAGCATAGTTGCTTACTTGCTTTAAGGGTATGTTTGGCTCAATGAGAGGAAGGGAAGAGGAGGGATTTTAATAGAGGAAAGGGGAGGGGAGGGAAGTGCAAGGATTTTAATATTATCTTGTTTGGATTTATAAAAGGAAAAACCATATTGGAGGTACCTGTATTTTTTGTAAATTTTCAATTTGGTACCTATGTGTTTTTGTTCTTAATTAAATCTTTAATTTTGCTCAATTAACATCATTAATCTTTATAGAGACTAAAAATGCCAATAGAACAAAGTTATAAGAGCTAATGTTACTAAAAAAAATAAAATTAAATGTTTAATCAAGAGGAAAAAACACATAGGTACCAAATTAAAAATTGAGAGAAAGTAGAGGTACCTATGATATGGTTTTCCCTTTATAAAAAAAGAGGGGGGGAGGGAAAAATATTTTAATATGAACAATTTTGCTCTTATTTTATTTAAGGCGTGGGCATGATGGTCACAACATGACAAAATATGGGCATAATGGTCATAATATGACAAAATATTACCCTTTCCTTCCAAATCCTCCCAATTTTGAGGGGAGGTTGAAGAGGGGAGGGAGGGATTTTAAAAAATTTTCCCTCCCCTCCTAAAATTTGTGTGTTGCCAAACAAGGGGAAATGATTAAAATCCCTCCCCTCCCTCCTCCCTCCCAAATCCCTCATACCAAACACACCCTAAGGGTATGTTTGGCTCAATGAGGGAAGGGGAGGGGAGGGATTTTAATGGAAGAAAGGGGAGGGGAGGAGTGGATTTTAATATCTTGTTTGGATTTATAAAAAAAGAGGGGAGGGGAGGGAAAAACTTTTAATATGGATAATTTTGCTCTTATTTTATTTAAGGGGTGGGCATAATGGTCACAACATGACAAAATAGACATAATGGTTACAACATGACAAAATATGGGCATAATGATCATAATATGACAAAATATTACCCTTTCCCTCCAAATCCTCCCAATTTTGGAGGGAGGTTAGGGAGGGAGGGAGGGGAATTTTAAAAAATTTTCCCTCCCCTCCTAAAATTTGTGTGTTGCCAAACAAGGGAAAATGATTAAAATCCCTCCCCTCCCTCCCCTCCCTCCCAAATCCCTCATACCAACACACCCTAAAGGAACCAACTTGAGTATCCTAAACTCATCAAATTTAAATTATTCATATCTAATTTAGAGGGTTCATATTTAATTTTTTATTTTTATTTGTTTAAAATAATTATTTAAATGGATATAGTATTTAAAATAAAAAAAATCTTTTAACTATATTTTTTAAAAAATAATTAATTAAAAAATTTAAATTTAGACCATCTAAATCAAATCTAAACGATTCATTTCCAATGAACTTGAGCCAAACTGGTTCCACTCTAAAGAGGGGACTTTATCAAGGAATGCTTGATTTACTGTCAAATTGGATCTAGTAGACGAAGTTAATCTATCCCTTTCCAACATGGCAAACCAAAAATCAAATTCTTACTGTAAAAAGTGCCTATATTTAGTATCTAATAACATTTTAATTGGATTATCTTCAATAGGAAGATACCTATACTAACAAAAAAAAAGAGTAAAATACATCAACCTCCCTTATATTTAACCTAAATTACGAAGACCTCCCTTTATTTTGGAAACTTATATAGACTTCCCTTAAAATCAAAATATATATTGCACAAACCTCCTTTCTAGTTTTGAGATTCAACTCCTATCCACTCATCTATTAGTTGACCGTTAAATCAAAGGTATTTTGACCAAATTACCCCTTCTTAATACAAATATTACTTAATAATTATCATTTAATAACATATCATACATCTTTATTTGAAATTAAAAATAATTTTAATAAATATTTTAATATTTTTTTATACTATTGAATTATTTTCCATAATATAAATTTTATTAATTTTATAAATACAAACTTTTATTTTACAATAAATCTTGTTTATTTATTTAAACTTACTTGTGATGTAATTTTTTAAATATATATTAGTACAAAAATGTTTTGTAATTGTATATATGTATTTTCAATAAATTATAAAGTTATGTCTTATTTATTCAATTTAGTAAGAATATTAAACAGATTATTAATAAATATTAATATTAAAAGATAACTACATATTTAAAATAATGAGGGGTAAAGTAGTAAATGAGGTTTATTCTAATTTTTTTTTAATTAAAAATGTATGTAAAGAACCTTTTCAGAATATTTCTTAACAATGTTATTTGTTTGGACTAAAATGTATGTTATCAAAATAAGGGAAGATCCATGTAATTAAGGCAAAACAGAAGGGAGATCAGAATATTTTACTAAAAAAGACATAAGAGAAATAATGCTTGATTTCCTATTAAATTTCCCGTTTTCGAAATCACCACGTTCCTTATTGAGCATAAATATTTTAATCCATATACCTTACTCAAATGTTGGATAAGATACCCGAATTGGATGCATGGTTGTTCTGAAAGTTCAAAATCATCAGTCAGCAAAAAGTGGACACGATACAAATAAAATTTAGAAAATGTAATTGTATTGTTAAATGGGTGGATAAATATGTATATGTGCTCGTATCCTAACCTGACTCTGTGTGTGTGTGTGGTGTAATGAATTCATTTTGAGAATTCGTTAAGTTTATTTAACTTGTAACAATGAGCGCTTCATTCTTTGCAGTGAAATCTTATACATATGCTTGATGTCACTGGGAATTGGCAAATCTGATTACATATATAAGTAGCATTTTTCTAAATCCTTAATAATTAAATCATAAAATTTTATAACATATATAAATAACAAAGTGGACACAATACAAATAAAATTTAGAAAATACTTTTTAAAATTATTTATTGATATACTTATCCGGTTCTAAATATAAGACCCTTATACATACTTACTAGTATAGGAGTCTTATATTTAAAACTGGATGAGTAATAATTTTTTAAAGACCGGACAGATAAAAACTAAATTAGTTAAACGTTAAAAAAATATTTTCTAGTTAAATTTTACAACGGTTATATGAACTGTTACAAAGTTTTCAAATTCAATTTTTTTTTTTTGTAAAACACTTTACGATTTGGAACCGCTACTAGATGTGTGCCAAAAATTCAAATTTTAAAAATTATAGCAATTACATAACTGCCACAAATTTTTGGAATGTAATTTCAAAAAAATTAATTACTTGCTGCTGCATTAGCAGCGGTCTTGAAAACTGCTACAAATGCTTTAAAAAAAAAAAACAAATCACTGCATTTATAGTGCTTGTTGAAACACCTACAAATTTAAAAGAAAACAGATGCCAATTTTGTAATGATTTTTGAACAACTACAAATGTAAAAACCAAAAAACTGCTACAAATTTTATACTTTTGTCTAACCTCTGACACTAATTTAGTAGCAATTTTATAATTTAGTAGCGGGTTTGACCCAAAATCGTTACAAAGTATTTTGCCATATTCATTTTAGCAGCAGTTTAAAAAACATAATTTTTCATGTGGGGTTGTCTATTGTCTAGTTATAGTCTTACTAGGAGTACATCCTGTTTGAGAGTGGGTGATGACACCTTTTTTGTTGCTATCCATTTATATTGAAGCAACATATTGGCTCGATCATATAGCTAGTTAGTAATCAAATCATCAGCAATTTATAAATTTATAATAATGCGGGTTTGACCCAAAATCGTTACAAAGTATTTTGCCATATTCATTTTAGCAGCAGTTTAAAAAACATAATTTTTCATGTGGGGTTGTCTATTGTCTAGTTATAGTCTTACTAGGAGTACATCCTGTTTGAGAGTGGGTGATGACACCTTTTTTGTTGCTATCCATTTATATTGAAGCAACATATTGGCTCGATCATATAGCTAGTTAGTAATCAAATCATCAGCAGAAAAAAATATAACAATGCACTACAAAATAAAATAACAGAAGGGCACTTTTATACTTTCGAGGGAAAAAATAATTTAACATTAGCACGTGTTTTATTTAGTTTAATTAATTCGGCTAATTAAATATAAAAGATTATGAATTCAAACGTGGGATTAGATCAAAGCTTAATTTCCTAGAATTCTGGCATTTGTGGAAGGCAGAGCTAGAATAGAGAGGTTAAGAATATGTAAAATACAAAAACTACGGATTACCACACGACCTTTTCCTTCTTTCTTTCAACTTTCCCAGAAAATCACTGCTTCAATTCTTCATACCATCTTCTCAATTCTGCAAAACTTGTCCTTCTGATCTAATTTCATTCCATCTCACTTCTCAGACACACTCTCATCACTCCAACTTTGTACTATTCTATCAAATGATATCGTGCACGATCCTTTTAGGATTTTAATCTTTCTTTTTTTTTGGGTTCTATGTTATATATGGCTCTTGATTCATTGGGTCTATGAATGGCGTCTTGATTTGGCTTTTGAAGTGTTTTCAAGTTTGAGAGGCACATCATTATACAATGGAAACCGACGGGAATAAGAAGGCGGCCGGTGAAGTTTCAGAAAAGAAACCCACTGCGACCGATAATGAAGCAAGCGGTGATGAACACCATGGAGGGAGGTTTTACTCCCACAGCCGCCAGAGTTCTGTTGCTGACGAAGACGATGATGATGAAAGGAGTAAGATTGAATTGGGTCCGCAGTGCTCCTTGAGGGAACAACTTGAGAAGGACAAGGTTGCTTCTTCTCTTTTCTTCATTGCATTTTTTTTCTTTCATTGCAAGAAATTCATACAAATAAGCTCCATTGTTTACAACAAGTGGACTAGTTATAGATTTTATATTTGATGTTAATAGATAATTATGTACTATGTCTTTCATGCACTAGTGGTAGAACAAATTTGAATATGCATGTACTTGATGTGATGTCATTGATGTGTTGTCAATATGCAAAATGTACTCTCACGTTATATTGGGAAAATCAATAGGGGGTTCTTAAAGAAGGAATATAGTTGCCAAAAAGTCTGATAATAAATGAGCAGCATATAATGATAAGTTTTAATACAAGAAATGATAATATATCAGTTTATATTGCACTCACTTATTACTAAAATTTTCTAATTATCATATTCTTTTCTTGAAACCTCATAACAATGTTTTTCCCTAATATATTGCTTGTATGTTCCCCATTGATACATTTTGCAATGCAGTTACATTTTGAGATACTCAAACATCTCAAAAGAAATAAATATGATATTGAGTTTGAATTAGATTTATGCTGGCCTTATAATATAGTACTTTGTTTATGAACGGTTTTATTCTAATAATCTGAATGTTTGTTTAAAGCTAATTCTTTTAACACTGCTGTTTTATTTTTTGTGTCCTGATCTATATTCTATATGTATATATCTTGTACAAGTATTTTGAAATTCTAAGGAATTATTATATTATATTCTCTTAAGCTCATAATCGTATATAGTTTCATAAAGTATAGTTTCTCTCTGCTATGATGTTTTAGGATGATGAGAGCTTAAGGAAGTGGAAGGAACAACTTCTTGGAAGCGTCGACATCAATGCTGTTGGAGGTATATTTATCACTTGTTTCATTTAAATTTAAAAATAAATGCTTAATTATATATAGAGAGGAAAAAGATGTACACAACCATATATTTTTTTTCGTTGCATTATTCCATTATTACCTCATACCAAAAAGGTTCTAAGATTAAGTATATTCAAATTAATATATATATATATATATATATATATATGTGCAGAAACCCTAGAGCCAGAGGTGAAGATCGTGAGCCTTGCAATAAAGACAAATGGGAGAGATGACATAGTGCTTCCAATCCCAGAGTCTGGAAAACCAGAGGGCCTTTGGTTTACTTTAAAAGAAGGAAGCCATTACAGTCTCATGTTCACTTTTCGTGTTAGCCACAACATCGTTTCAGGTCTCAAATACACCAACACTGTTTGGAAAACTGGTATAAGGGGTATGTATTTATATATATATATATATTCATGAGCAATTATGCTTATTATCATACTGTTTAATTCCTCCTCCAGTTCTCTTTTTAATTTCCCCCGTAAATTAATTAGGGTTTAGATTATATCTTTATATATCCTTCTTTATGATGAAGTTATGCTAATCCGTATATGCTAAGCTTTTCTCGGTTGTTCATATATGGTTAGTTCTAAAAAAATTTTATTAAAAAACGTGTTGTAAATATTGATTTAAATAATCATAAATATGAGAGTCTTAGTTGCAAATCAGTAATTAGGGAATGACATATGAGACTAAAATTTCTGTTTTGCCACTTAAACTCCCATATCTGTAAATGTCTGAATATGCTATTTACAACTAAACACGCCCCGCACATATACACAAAGATACAGTTTCAATGGTCCATATTTAGAATTTTCAACTAATAATTTTGAAATAATAAAAAGTTTTTCCCCCCAAAAAAACTAATATTATTTTTATTTCAAATTATGTACCCATTAAAATAATTATTTAAAAAAAGCATAAACTTAGACCATGTTAGATCTAAACAGTTCAGATCAGCCGCTGATCACCAACTGGTGAATAATGAAACTCAATCCCTAGATTATTTGTGAAGAAAGTGAAATGAAAAAAATTGAGGGATATGTTGTTACAGTTGACAGCACTAAAGAGATGATTGGAACGTTCAGCCCACAGGAAGAAGCTTATACACATGAAATGCCTGAGGAGACGACCCCATCTGGCATGTTAGCTAGAGGGACTTATACAGCTAAAAGTAAGGTAATTTTTTTAATATCAATTATTAATTTAAAGTCCAGGTATATACACACACACATATTAACATTGGTCTTTAATATAAGAGTTGGTTGACTAATTTGAGTTGATAAAGAAAATTAGTTAAGTTAGTTATTTATAATAAATATGTATTATCTTTCATAAAATATCTTTACTAATCAAATGTATTGGTTAGAACCACTATTATTACAAAGACTATTTTTAAAAAAAGAAGATAAATATTATAGATAAATTGGATTAGAATCTTATGTTTAGAATTAAAATAAAACTGAAACGAGCTCTTATATTAAGGATTGGATATATGATTATATCATCAATAGTGCATATTGATAATTCTATGACTTTGGGTAGATAATCACAATTATAATATATTTACTGATAATTAAAGGTTAACCTGATTAGTAATGAGTTGATTAATATCCCATATAGATATGAACTCATACATATATATATATATATCGCTACAGATATAAAAAGTCTAAAGTGTACATTTGATTCTTTAATTTTATACAAGGTTTTAATTTTGGTCTCTTAATTTTAAAGAGTGTATTTTCAATCCTTTAATCCTAAAATAATTATTGGACCAAAAAAACCCTAAAATAATTAGTCTCAAATAATAATTTTTTGTTACAATCTTGATTATTTTGAAAATTAAATTTAATATATTAGCATTTGAGAATGTTTTATTAATATTCAAGATCTTAATGTTATTATTATTATTTTAAATGTTTTAGGGTTAAGAATTAAAAATATACTTTTTAAAGTTAAGGGACTAAATTGAAACTTTATCTAAAATTAAAAGACTAAGAATATATTACAACTTGTATAAGAATCTCATCAATGATTAATAATATATAAGTATTTTGTAAACACTTTTCTAAGATGAGCTCTCAAAACTTATACTAATGTCTTTTTCTCTCTAGTAAAACAATTATCCAAAAGAATCGGCATTAATGATCAAAGTTAAAATATATTTGTTATTATATTAAAAAAGTTGGTCTAGTTTATGAGAATTGAAGTTTAATTGACTTCATATTTCCTGTTTTTCAGTTTGTGGATGATGACAACAAATGTCACTTGGAGATCAACTACACTTTTGATATTCGAAAGGATTGGAAATAATTAATTAGGAGTCAATTAATTACTCCTTCGATGATAATATTGCCGTTTAATCCTTCATCGTTAATCATATTTTTCTCTACTGGTTTTAACGCTCCTGAGAGTTATTATTAATTACCTATTTCCTTTTTAATATTAATAGCTTTTTTGTTTTTCTAATCCTATCTGAGAATAGTAAAATTAACGATGATGAGAGGATCTTGAGGAACCAGACTGGTTCTTCATTTGGTAGATATATAGTTTTTTGTCAAAAAAATTGAGTTTTTGAGCCAGTTTTCTATCACAAGTATGATTCTTTGCAAAAATTATAGAGTGACGAATCTAAGAATGATATTTATTAGAGATGATGTTAAAAATTGTAATTATTTAGGAGGACGAAAATGAGTTTGCATAGATTTATATTTATGTTTTATATCAATTTGCGGAAGAAAAATGTTAAACGAATTCTTATAATTAAGCACTCAGACAATCCAACATTTCTTATTATTACGCCAAATCACAAATTTGGGCTGTTAATATTACTTTTCAATTTCACTCATCTCTATTGCATTTTCAAATTAAGAGAGAGAGAGAGAGAGAAACACAACATGATACTAATTTTTGTAACTTACCAGAATTTTTTATTATTAAAATTATTATGGACAAAATATCTTCGTGGGGTTAACAAATGATTTTTTTTATATACTTAAAAAATAATTTATACAAGATAACTATGTGAAAAGAGTTTAATACATTTTTGTTGTAGAGCTTTCAAATACCTACGGTAAAGTCGTGAAATATCATATGTGGGTATCTTTTTCAAATAAGGTCGATACATGTGACGCGGAAATCTTCAATGAGAACATATAACTTTCTTTTGCTATTGTAATTTGTAAATATACTTTTTATTATATATATGTAAATGAAATATCGTAATATAATATTAATGCACCTTTTCTAATTATTACATCCACGCACACTATAAAAATAATTATTATTATTGCTACCGCCTAAAAATAACCTCATTAAAGAGTGGCATACTATTCAACATATTGCTAAATTAGTCTGCCTATTTTTTTCTTCCTTTTTGATACAGTAAACATAATAGCTTGCAGACTATAAACGAAGTCTTATAATTAGGATCAGAGATGGTATTATACTAATGTACCTTCAAGAGAAACATGCAATTTACATAATAAGGTTCTTTTCAGGGGTAAAATTCATAATGACTTTATAAGAGTGCGTGGATGTAATTAGAAAAGGTATATTAGTATTCTAATATTTCATATATCATAAAAAGTATATTTACAATTTATATAAGCAAAGGAAAGTAGTGTGTTGTTACTGAAGGTTTCTATTTGAAAGAGATGCCCCAATATGATCTTTCACAGTTTTACTGTTGGTAGATATTTGAAAGCTCTAAAAAAATATTAAAATCTTTTCACTCTTTGTTTAGTAACATGTGCATTATTTTTTCAAAAAATATTTCCTGGTTGGATGAATTTAATCAAATGTGTTATTCCCACAAAAAATATTTTGTCCATAATTTTTTTGGAATAATAAAAAAATTCTGGTAAGTTAAAAAAATCAGAATCATATTCTGTTTTTTCCTCTCCTTTTTAATTAAAAAATGAAAATAAATAAGCTATGAGTGAGATTGCATTGGGAAATAATATTTTAAATTTTAATTAAAAGAACAAGAAAATCTAAAATTTAGTATTTGAAATTAAAAAAAAGTGCCTACCCAAATGGCTTGATACTTAATATTCTTAAATATAATTATATAAAATTATTTTCTAAAACTTGGAGCATATGGAAGATGTGGTGGAGAGAAAATGTAGGGGGTTTGATTAAGGATAATTTAGTATTTTTAAATTTATATTTAATTATTTGGTCCTTCTAAACAATTACAATTTTTATGATCCTTCTATTAAGCATCATTTTTTGTAGGTTTTTATATGTATAATTAGATAACTTGACATAATGAATATAATGAATTTGACCTAAATATTTTCCTTTTATTTAATACTAATAAGCCTCGAGAAATTTAGTGTTCATAAATTTGGCTTGTAAATGACACAACCCCACTTGTAAACCCAAATTAACTTGATTATTTCATTTTTGATCATTGAATTCAAACATTTTTCAAGGGAGAATTTTAGTTAGCGCCCATTGAACAAACTTAATTTCCAACAAACCCACAAAATTCTAGAACTTCACTGCACTAACTTTGATAAAAATGGAATTAAATGTTATGAATGAAAAGATAATTATGCCTTTGAAGTATTAAAGAATCATGGGTTCAAACTCTCTTGTCACCTTATTTGGAAAATTTTTTTTCGGCCGTCAGATATTTGACAACAAGCCACTGGAGCTTTGGAGGCAGTTCATATTTCTTTTAAATAAAAAATTGCAAGAGCACAATTGTCTTTTCACTCATAATATTTAATTTTATTTTGATCAAAGCCGATGTAGTGAATTTCAAAATTTTATGGGGATTATTGGAAATTAAGTATGCTTAGTGGGGGCTAATTGAAACAAGCTAAGTGAGCAATGCCCAAATTGGCACATTTTCGTACGAGTTATGTGTTTTGCAACCCAACTCAATTTTTTTAATAGGTTGAATGGGCCGGTGAGGTAAACCCATGGATGTGAGGGTGGATATGTATGTGGCGTGCATATCTGGATTTTAAGTATTTTTCTAAAATTAATCGATTTAAAATTTTAGAGATCAAAACTAAAATAAAATCAAATTATAGTGATTACAGATATCATTAATCCTTTTAAAAAAAGTAAGAAAGAAGGAGTAAAGTTGTATATTATAATACCTCCACTCCTTCTTTCTTACTTTTTTTAAAAGGATTATAATAACTCCAAACTATAGTATAAAATATAGTTTGGAGTTAGATTTTGTTTGAATATAATATCTCAATCTACTTTATTTTTCAAATTAATAATTTTTTTAAAATATCTTTATTGATTGTAAAAGATTTCTATCAAGTGGTAGTTTCAATATATCTAATTAAACGAAGTTAATACATATTTATTACAAATAAGTAATTTAATTAATTTTTTTAATATTTTCAAATTAATTATTTAGTTTCTATATTATGTACCGAAGCTATCATAGACGTAATGAATATTTTTTTTTCAACCATGCATATAATGAATTTGACACCACCTTAAGGCCAATTCAATTAACATCAAATTCATGGGTTACTCTCTCTCCCCCCGCCCCTCTCAGGCGCTCATATTTCAAGTCAACTCGATTGGAAGCAAAACTTTTTCAAACTAAAATAGTCATCATGAAAGAAAACACAGCAAGTCAGCAACCTTACTATATAAATACGCACTAACATTTGGGGGGAGAGAGGAGGGCGGGGTGCAAATTAAATAAAAATGGAGGGTGCTGACTTAACCAAATGTTAGTATCTGTGTGTTACTGCTACGCCATAGCCAAGTTTGTTCCAAAGGGCATTCCTAGACTGTTAGCCTTCTTACCGGTTCATTTACTCTTTCCCTCTCTTCCTCTCTCTCTCCCCCCAATCTATTTAACTTAGGTTCTGTTTGATATGAAATATTGAAAATAAATGATACGGATTAAAATTATAGCTGAGAAAAATCATTATAATAATATTTAGCATCAGTAGTTACTTGTTACATGAGACTAGACAGAAGTAGGATTGGGGAATACTACTTTCGCCCATGGTATTCCCCAATACCACATATATATGTTTGGCTAATCTCATATATCAAATAAGTTCTTATACTAAATATTCTTTTAATAGATTTTCTCAATTTCAATCCTAATTTCTATCTCTAATTTTCAATTTTTACTAAACGGGACCTTTGAAGCTCCATCGCTTTCTTCATTTCACGGATCGCTAACTTCATTTCATGGATCGCTAACTTCAAGCTTCTTCTCTTAGCTTTCCATAAGTCTCCTCTCTCTCTACCTTCTCCCTCCCTCGTCCAGTTTCTCGTCCTCGCCTCATTGCCGGTGATGACGCGCCGTGACAGTTCTGTCAACCAACCTCACAACAGCAAACGCCTCCTTATCATCAGTTATGCTGTCAAAGCTCTGCTTCTTGCTGCTGCCATTACAGCTTACCGTTACACCCATTACTTGCATATCAAGGTTCAAATTTTTCGTTTTCTTTTCTTTGTTTTTTTCCCTCATAAAGGTCTCAAGGTTCAGTTTTGTTTACTTATTGGTCTTGTAACTTGGAAAAAATAGCTGGGAAGGAAAGTGGTTTCGTGCTAAGGATAATGAGCATCAAAATTTGGGCTGTCCAAATATTTATGCTTAATTTTTAAAAGAATTATTTTATTGTACATAAAATCTAAAATAAAAATAATTTCTTGATTGTTAGTCTTTTAAAAAATAATTTTTTATTTGAAAATTATAGTTAGAAACTTTAAATTTGCACTGTTGACATTTTTTTTGCCAAAGACATTATTGACATATTTGAATAGTGCAAATTTCACTATAGCAATAAGCACCATCATTATGATAAGTATTGAAACTGGTTTTATAAAAAGGAGAAGTATTTTGGCCATTTCTAAAATTGAATCCATCTCTTAATCAAAATAATTATGTTTGTATCATATAATTGGGACCGATTTCAGTGCTCTTCACTTGATGAGCATTTTGAATTGTTGAGACTTGATTAAACGATGTAAATTTAATATTTTAATTAATTATTTTTAAATAAATTATGTTTTGAAAAGATGATTGTCAAAAGATTTTTTTTTATTTTAGATTTTATAACATTTTAATAATTATTTTATAAAATAAAAATAAAAAATTTAAATATGGACCATTCAAATTTGGAATGGCTTAAAAGCAATTTTTTAATCGTAATTTACAGAACATGAGGTAATTGTAACGTGCTTATAAGTGCTTATAAACGTGATTCTAAAGAGACTCTAAATTGGTTTGGTCATGTAACCTTTCCTCAAAAGTTGATCTTCGCCATGCTTCTATTTGGGCCTCTCATTGGCTATATGCCATTTGCCACTGATTAGTTGAAAACGCTGAAGAAACTTATCAAGGAACTACATACAAATACGGTCTTTTTGCATGTCAATTAGGGATAACATCTAAATTTAACGTCCAAAAAAACTTTATCCATATTAGTGCCTCAAACTTTGAAGTCCACATTTGTATTCACACACACATATACACCTGGATAACGGTAATAAAACAATTCAATGTAGTTCAGTTAATAAATGGACCAAGAATAGCATCGCTTGCAATATCTGCTGCAGAATCTCTATTAGTACCACAGAACTTAGTGTAACACCAGTTAAATAAACTTCATCACTTGTGCATAATTTTTCACACGAAATTTCTTCTAAGCAAATGTTCTACAACCAACCTGTAGTAAGTCCTAGCTCCATGCCAATGAAAATGTGACAGTGCATTTGTACATCTGTGAAATTATTACAGTGGCTACGATTGATGCTTGATGGTGATCCTGTTTCTAGAGGTACAAGTGTTTAAAGAAAACTTAGGCAGATCAAAGAACCCTTGCTAAAACAATAAAAAAGTACCCTATGGGGTGGGGGGAAAACATCATATAAATTCATACATGTTTAGGATTCTCTATGATGCCTGGATACATGTAAATCAATCCCCCACCTGGCTTCACACATTTAGGACCGGAGAAGTATTATATAAAAGACAGTATCTTATGATACACATGAAACAAGAGAATGAAAAGAAGAATTTAAGAACATGTACAAAATAGAACGATATGCTAAAACTAAGTTGAGTCCTAAGAAGGAGCTAAGCATTTTGGTGATGCCTTGCCGAAAAATGTGATTGGACCTCCAAGAATTATGAATGTTGTGCCAAGAGGGATCTCTCTGACAAAAAGTAGTTTGTGTGAATTGTAAAGAACCAGAGATCTCTTGCATTACCTACTGAGGTGGCCAGACCTTTCCTTTATAATAACAAACACTCAAAAGAAAAGGGATGGAGCATAGCCAACTGAAACACATTTCTATGACTAACTGTAAGCTTTGTGGATGACTAAAATCCTATAGCGAGAATTTTCTAAATTAGAATCTAGTTTAACTGAAATATTTATTTATCAATGGAAAAAGTTATATCATAAGATTTATCTAGTATGAACAATAACAAAAAATGTTCTCACAAAATAGTGTCACAACAAGTTGATGATAAAAGCACATACTCATCACATATTTTTTATAAAAATTCTCACCAATATCATAGAAGTTAAACTCAAACAAGTCATATTCTCATGATACAAGATTCATGAAATTTCTGTGAGAATAGGTCCCTATAGTTTTCTCCCCTTTACATCATAGTTTCACTAGCTATAAAATCAGGTAAAACTATAAGGACCTACTAAGTCTTAATTTCAAACCTCCTAGACACCGTTTAAACGAAAAACATCTCAAATCAAGTCTAAATTCAGGCATTCCCGATATTCGAGATAATATAAGATCAAATATGTCTCCTTTCAGTATTACTTAACAATTTTACAAATGCCGCCTGCTTTCTGTTCATAATTTAGTGCCAATGCCCATTAGCATATGAAAAAACATTGGCCTGCCATCAGACCGGTATATGCAATAATATCTAACAGGACTTGATACTAATTAACATCATTGATAGCAAATGCGCATATTTCGGTGAGATGATGAGAGCATGGAACCCAAAGCAACTTTATTAGTAACAGAGGTACATACAAATTGGAAATTTTCAAACCAAAACACATATTTTGTACATAGTATTTCCTAAAATAGAAATGCAACGAGTAAGAAACATAAAAAGTCAAATCAACAGTAAAACCATTTTCTATCAAACGTCAATTTGCCATATTTAAAATAAGAATAAAAGGGAAATTCAAGGATTAAAGCACACATGCTTATGATTATTTAACCTCAAGCTTCGTTGAATAAAAGAGAAGGAAACAATCAATTGATATATAACCCAAGCATAACTCTCCTAGACCATTCAACCCATAAAATAATCCAACAATGTTGACCAAAAGGAACCAATCATTGTATAAACATTAAGTATAACAAATTAGGATAAGAGTATCTAACCTTGCTTTATTGCTTCAAAACATCACTATCAATCATTTCATAAAGAAGATTCTCTACTTTATCATTCTCACCTTTGTCCGGAAGAGCTTGATGAAGTGTTTTATATGTTATTGAATTAGGAAGGTAGTCATTCTCTTTCATTTTTGGAAGCAAAGTCATGGCTTCATCAAGCAGCCCTTGTCGACAAAGGCCATTGATCATAAGATTATATATGTCAGACATCTAGATGATAACCTTTGTTGACAAGGTATTCAAAAATCTCCCAAGCATCATTTAGTCTATCCCCTTTACACAAGCTATCAATAAGTATGGTATGTGTGTACAAATCAAGCTGAACTCCTTGGCAACCATTTGCTAAAATAATGCAATCCCTTGGTCTAGATTTTGGCTTTTGCAAAGTGTATTTAACAAAAAACTATAAGTGACTACATTAGGGGACACACTATTATCACACATATCATGAACAAGATCCCATATGTATGACATTGTTCCTAATTTGCACATGCCATCAATAAGAGCATTGTAAGTCCACACATCAGGAACCAAGTTTTTGTGACACATTTCTCTAAAGAGACAAATTGCTTCATCAACCATTTTGATCTTACATAATCCATCAATCAATATATTAAAATTAACTACATTAGGTTTCAATCCACTTCGGACTATCTTATCAAATACTTCTTTTAACTCATTAACATTGTTCACCAAACAATGCCTAGCCATTAAAGAATTGTAAGCTACATTATCAGGTTTCTCACCACATTTCGTGCTTGTTTGGGTCTAAGGTTTTCTGGCCCAAACGCAACTTGTTTTTACATTAAGCTTGATTGGAAAATCATGGGCTGTTTGGGAGGACTGTTGGGGGATTTGATATGGGACCAAAAGGTAGATGTAAACATACGTTTTGGATAAGCTAATATGACGAGCTTATTCAAACTGAAACTAAGCTTATGGACCGTTAGAGAATTAATTAATATGTCAGATTGGTTGTTAATTCCTCACTCCTCATTATTCTCGCATAATTCTCCCATTTCTTCATTCCTTCCTTTGACATTGAAAGGGTCGTCGCTAGACAGAAGTTAAGCCATCTCCTCTGTCACTTGCACCGTCGCCTCCGCGACTTGCACGGTCACCTCTGCCATGCTAGCTTCGTTTGCTCTCTGCTGTGAGGTTCGTCTGGTTTGGGTGATCTCTTCCTCTTTCATCACTTCTCAAAATGTCTTTGAGCTTCCAATTTGCCATTACCCCCGTTGAAGCCGTGGTCACCGCCATCTTAGCTCTATATTTGGGTTGTGCGTGGACATCTTCGACTCCCAGCAAAACACACCGTCTAATCTACCTCTGCCACGCTTCATTGTCGCTAATCTGGTACAGTAAGCAGGATCTCTGTTTTCTCTAATCTGTGTTGATTGCATGTAATAGCCTTCTGAACTATTGATTTTTATTAGTTATGTGGAGTTGATCTGATGTAATCAAAGTATGGATTTTCTTGGTAGAAACTGTAGTTGTTGGGATTTTGTCTAAGCTTGGCTTTGTCGACATTCTTCCCTGTGTTCTTCCCCATGTTTTGTCTTCCCTCCGGTTGCCTGTGTAGTTTCTTCCCTGTTCCGATTTCGGCTTTCTCCTTGCAAGTAGAAACATGATGATATTTTGTTTTCTTTTTTTCTATTTTTTTCAATACAAAGATTGCCATCACTCGGTCATTAAGTACCAAGCAGAAACAGGACGATGATAACATGTTAAGCTCTGGACTTTGATTCACAGGTTTTTTCAAATCACTGATATTTACCGATAAGAGAATTTGTGTGCATGTATTACATATATAAATTTACATGTCCGCAGCCAAGCAATTGCAATTATGGTACATGGATAGATTTTTAAAGTAGGCTTGATCACACTTTAATCATTATGACCAAAACAAAATAAAGGAAAAGTGTACCTAATTGTAAAACCAGAAATATCCCATCCACTGATCCATGTTTATGACCTTGTAATCACTTTGAGTCTGCAATAATCAATTATGCAAACCTTTAACATATTTATCCCTTTCCTTTTCATTTTAACTAGTCTAACTGGCTTCAACATTAGAAGGAAATAAATAAGGCGTCCATGAAAAATAAAATAACCAAAGAGTTTGTGCAGTTCATTTCTCCCCTGGTTTAATATCTCATTTGAAAAGGAAACAAACATTCTGGTTGATATTCTCACTTTATTTCATTGATTAATGAAATGCATAAATTAATTTTTGTCCCCAATCAAATGGTTCGTCATCAATAATTTTGTGCAATTAATGAAATGCATAAATGTGTCTTTATTGCTTTGATGTGTGTAATTTTTTGTGATTATTGGTTGTTGTTTGGTTGCTTGAGTTAGTCTTGTATTTATTATTTTGGATAGAAAAATGGATCATGATAAAGAAAAAGCGACATGGGATCCTTACATGACTAAAATTTTTATCAATGTTTGTGCCGAGCAAATATTACAAAAGGAACACCAAGGAATATCATTTACAAGGCCTGGTTAGACCCAAATTGAAAAGAATTTTAAGAAAAGGAGCAGGAAAAATTATGACGAGAAACAAATAAAGAATAGATTTGACATATTAGAAAAGATTGAAAGTTGAGGGAATCACTGATGTTTGGAGAGACTAGTATAGGTTATGATGCAGTCGCAAATAAGGTGTTGGCCTCCGATGAGTGGTATCAACAAAAATTAATGGTAATTATTTCACTACAAAAAATTGGACTTTCAGCGGTGACAAATAAAGTCGCTGCTAAAAATATGACTTTTAGTGGTGACAAGAAGTGTCGCCTCCAAAAGTCAGGCCTTTTAGCAGCGACAAGAATGTCGCTGCAAAAAAAGTAGTAATGGCAGTGACTTCTTATTGTCGTTGCCATAGGTGTAGCTTTCAATGGCGATAAAATCTGCCACCACTGAAAGGTGCACCTATGGCGGTGACAAAAGTGGTCGCTATTGAAAGTGTACACTTTCAGTGGTGACTAAACTGGTCACCACAGAATGCCTTTTCAGTGGCGACTATTTGTCGCCACTGAATATTACTTTCAGTGGTGACACTGTTTGTCGCCGTTGAATATTGCTTTCAGTGGCAACACTATTTGTTGCTGCTGAAACCGGGTTTCAATGGCGACAAATAGTTGTTACTGAATCTTCATTCAGTGGCTACACTGTTTGTCACTGTTGAAAGCTGCTGAAACACCCTATTGTTGCCGCTGAAAGTTTTTCACATTTTTTTATCATTTTTATTTTTTGTAAAAGTTTATATTATAATCTTTTATTTATGTAATTAAGTAACTTTGATAATTATTGTTTTTTTATGTATTATTGTATTAGAGAGAGACTAAAAGAAAGATAATGTAGTGTTTGAGTGAGAAAGGGAGAGAAAGAAAGTTTGGAATGTGTATAAAA